CTCACTGCAGTAGCATGACTAAAATGTTTACTGTTGTGTAACTTGTAGTGGCAGTACCGGTCGCAACATATGAATCATTGAGACAAAAATTTAATTCTTAGTTCTTTCTGGAATAAAGATTTTTTTTGCCTTAGCTCCTAAGCTCAGAAGATGGAGGAAATAATTATTACAGCTGTGTTTGTGTTGGGATTTCTTATATGTTATGACCCATCTAGCATATAGAGTAAGCCAAATAATCCACAGAGGAAAGTGATGGGGCTCATTGATCCTTCCGGTATGTAACTGTATTTACACATATGTACATTATTAACAAGCTTTGGTTGAATATAGAACAAATCATTGTTGGCTTGTTAGCTTTTCTCATCCATCACATCTGGCTCACTGAAGGAAAGCATCATTTAAAGATTTTTGTTTTCCAGCCTGTGATTTGGACCAAATAAAAGTAGGAAAATAATAAAGAACGCACACAAATAATGCCCAAAATCATCATTATTATTATCACTGATGCTCGGCCCAGGCCGCCCTGTGAAATGATGCGTTGATGTGAAAGTAAATGCTAGCAAGTTAAAAAACACTTTAAACAGCTAAATAACCAAAAACAAAGAAACAAAACTTGCTAAAATAACAGCACAGAGTCTGTTGTGTCTCCTAGAATGTAGCTAAATGTGGAAGCCCATGTAAAAACTGGGTCAGTGCATTCCCCTGGTTACATATGCTGCAAGTATTTTTGTCAAGTTATTTCTTTTTTCAATCAAGAGAAAGCGCTCTGTGTTTGATTACTGTTCATTCCTATTTCAATGCAAAGATTGCATGCAACTAGTTCACGGTCAGCTGAGTTTAGGAAAAACATTTGATTGAAACCTGAAGAAGCGCCATACAATGTGTGGCCTTGGTTTGTAATTACATAAAGTCTGTCTTCATTTTTCTCAGAATTGAGTTTGTAACACAATAATATGAGTGCATATGGCAACAGCCTCCCTCCACCCACCCCTGGTTTACCCAGAGATAGTAAATTCATTCTCAAGCTAATGCAAACTTTATGTGTTACTGGTGCTTGTTAATGTAGGTCTCACTCCTCTTTGCTACTGTTCTGTTACTTTTTATTATGTGCCAGATAAATATGTATGTCTTTGTATGAACTAAACACACTGCATCTCACTAGAGCACACATGATTTTGTACATTGACTCTTAGTTTTCTTATCAACAGGCCTTTACCACAGAAGGCATAGAGTGTCACAGGTGTAAATAAAAAAAAATTTGAATGGCTGAATTCCATTTAGCTGCTCCAAGTTTCAGGGCCCTTCTCTGTCACACTGGCACTTGAATAGACAACAGCCTTCATTAATGTTATTTACAACATCTATGTGTTTCCTACTACAGCAACTCAAAACATCTGTTGAGGACGAAGCCTATTACAACAAGGGGCTCAAGAGAGTCTTGGCAAATGTAACGAAATTCAACACAACCGTCTGAAGTCTCACAGTCGTCTGTCCAACGTACAGTAATGTAGTCACTTTTCAAAATGATGATTGCATTTATGACTTTTTTGTAATAAACATTTTCTTTTAGTTTCATACTGGGTTGTCAGTGTTATGTGCTGCTTTGAAGAAACAGCCTCAGTCAGAGTGGGCAAATGCTTTTGTCGTCTCCTGTGGGCTCACAGTTTATGATAATTACCAAGCTGATGCACATCGGTGATCACAGTGGAAACAATGCAACCTTATGCAAATTCACAATGTGGTTTTGTAAAGTGTATCTTATCACACTGACATATGTTCACAGCTGGCAGGGGGTTCCTGTGTGTGCTGACACTGTTCAGTCTACTGATTGTACATCGCGTTCAACACTCCCGCTCTGTCACTAGTCCTCCGTTGTTCTCACTGCACTCACCAAGTCTTTCTTGAGTCACTGTCAGCTCTGTTACCTGGGTTTCTGGGTTTCTACTCTTATAGCCGAGAGAGATGAAAGATGTATGAACTCTCAGGCACAAACACAAACACACTGTGTGTCTCCTTACCTTGTTCTCCATCCACTCTTTCGGCCCCGCTTCCCATATTGTGAATACTGAACCAGAACTCAAGAATCACAAGTCAAGATGCTGCTTAGTGGTTCTACGTTTCATCATCACATGCAGCTTGAAGAACATAACTCTGGAGCCTCTGGGAGATTTTGTGAGACACAGAGAAGGTCCTTCGCTCACACAGTACAGTTCAATCAGACTATTGACCACAAACAGAGGGAGAGAATTATGAAAAGTATGGTGTTCCTTTCAGAGTTAGTTATATTGTATATACTGTATATTATTTCAGAATGTGGAGGGTGAAACAGGTCCTTCATGGGATTTTCACCATATTTAAAAGCCCAGTCAGTGTTGTCTGTGATTGGTAATGACACAGGAATTTACAGGGACAGTATGAGAAGAGTAAAACAGAGCAAAGGAAATAATTTTGTTTTGTCAGTCCCTATGTTCCTCTTGTGGGTAATGAGGCATTTCTTCTCTCAGGTCATTGCCAGTCGCCAGCGCCGTACAGGAGAACACTCATTCAGAAGGATAGCTGCTTCTTTTACATGTAAATGAATTCAAAACACTGAACACTCACATAGCTCGTGGCCTCTTCTGTCCTTCAAAAGGATTCTGCATTAGGACAAGCATTGTCCGGTCATGAGTTACAGAAGGCTGAGGGCTCTTCACAAAAACAAAAACATCAAACAGAACATCTTCACTCACACTTGGCCGCTAATGTGTGAACTGAATCTGAATTTTGTTTCATTTTAATATAAACCTTCAGTGTCTGGGGATTTTTTTTAGTATCACCAAATCACGCCTTGGTTCAAATTACTGAGAAAGCATAGTCACTTGTGATTTAACTGTAACAACATACTTTACATTTACTTTTTTAATCACAGAGAATGTGCAAAAAAAGCACATTTGGTTTGGTTTATGCATACGTAATCAACACAGAAACAAAGAATTATTCATATATTCATATTTAACTTTTGTCTTACAGTGTCATTTGACCTTGAAGGCTGCATAACCAGTTATGTGGTTTACAAAGAGTTAACATCATTTTCAAGCAATATAATGGTTATGAAACACAATCTGGATGCATAAAACCCCCATCCATAGTTTAATAATTTAAAAACACCACATGCAGCATTACAAGGCAAATGTATTTTTATAGTACATTTTCATACAAAAGGCAATTTAAAGTGCTTAACACAATGCACACAGATAAAACACTAAAATGTGCATATAGATAAAACAGGTATATAGGATGGATAGGATAGCTGTGGCAAAGTGTGGATTCTCACTGTTTTCAGTACAGTAAACTGTGTATTACATTTACAATAAATTAAGACCACACTGATGATGACAAAAAAAACCCAAAAAATCATTACAAATCTGATTTTGCTAGAAATCTGCTTTATGGCACAAACCAAGAGCAGACACAGATCAAATTACAATGTTTCTGGCAAATAAAAAACAGAGAATGTCGAATGGAAACATTCTTTCAACCGCGTTTTTTTTGTGCAACAAGTAGCAACATCTTTATTTCATCAGTAAGTGCTGGTGTTTGCTCGGAATATGATCTTCATTTCAGGAAGCGCGGCGGTATTAAAATGAGAAGGAGGCTGTGCTTTGTCAGCTTCGCCTACAGTAATTATACAAAGGTACTTTGAACATTTAATTAGTCATACATTGTTTCAATCCATGCACAAATTTGAAGGCAGTTATTTATGTTTTTCACTACTTTCTATATATATAGTGGATACTGAAAAAATTAAAATCGGGTGAGACCCCTGCATGAAAATATTTCGGTCATGGTATGATTATAAGTCTCTGTTTTTCTGGAGAAAAACCATACATACCATTTGCATATTTTAGGTTTGCTAGCATATGCCTTTTCTAAAATATATCCAAAATAAGCATTTTTAGTATATATCATATGTAATATCATTTTATATCTTATTGTTTGAAAAGTACGCCTTATTTACAAGGCTGAGAGTTTCTATGATACATGTGCCAAATCTCATTTTCACCACAGTCAGAAACTATTTAAAAAATATTCCTGCTAGGATATCTTGTAACTATGGGCCATGTGGTGATGTGACAATAGCTAAGAGAAGGAATCAAACATATGCAGTTGGGAGCATGACTGACTCTCTGTGTCACCCTACGGACCTGCCAGGACATGGCAAGTTCTCAAAACATGAATGAACAGAAGTGCTAGTGGGAGCATTAAAGTCCCCTCAGGACAGCCATGTGTCACGCTGTCAATTCAAGCACCCAACATTCCCACTAAGCTTTGACACTTTCCCAGTTTCTAATTTTCCATCTGTGTACATGGATGGGAGGCTCCCTCCTGCTACAAACAAGTGTTCCCACAGAAATCGGGGGTGTGGTAACAATAACACCTTGAATGGCTCTCTCTCCTCCTGCCATGACCCCCTTGTTCAGTTATAGGCTTGCTTGTGAATAGATCTACACAGGAGGGGGGTGTTTAGAAGGTACTCCATAACTTCATTAAACTACTGAGCACGTACTAGTGTGAAGGGCAAGGGTGCACAGTGCAATGTTTACATGGAGATGCATGTTTTTTGTTTAATAATGATATTTGATTCATTTATAGCTCATAAATCTACAATATGGAGCATCTTGATGTCTTTAAGTCAGAGGGAGGGGCAGGTCGTCTTTCCTCAGCACTCTGAAACAATATTTCTTTTTGAGCAAACATCCATGATTTCATCTTGAGTTAACCTCGAATCCATCATCACCATCTAATTCAATTGATCATTTTTTGCCGAAATGGTGTCTTTTTCTGTATCTGTTCTTTGTTCAGAATTTCTAACTTTTCTTATTATAACCTCTGTAAAAGTTACTTGGTGCTACTTTAATTCCAGATGATGCTTCTTTGAATCATTTCTAAGAGCGTGCCTCTAAGTGCCTCCATATGCGTCTAGTTTGGAGACAGCTTTCTGCTGTGCGTAAAAGAGGGTCACTTGGAGCGCTCTTTCTTTCTTTCTCTCCCTTTTCTGTAAAGGCGTGGTCTCTTCCCCCCTTTCTCTCTTTGCAGCTCACACAGACTTCATGTGGGCAGCTGTTTCGAGTTGAAGTAGCGGCAGCCTTTAGAGCGGAGTCATTGAGAAACAATTCATCAGCCGGGCAGAGCAGCAGTCACCCAGTGGACACCAAGCTGCTCGGAAAGACCCTATTACGCACTGGGGGGGACTGCTAACGCAAATGTTGGCACAGTGAAAAGAAGAATTCGGCATTTTTCAATATATTCTTACGGAATATTGTGTTTGCTGGCAACAACTGTAATTTAACAACAGGACATTTCCTAAGCATAATGAAGGGAATTACACGTTTCTTCAACATGATCGTTGTTGCGCTACTTGTCGCCAGCGTCTCCGCAACCAAATTGAATGTACCGCGTCTGAGACTGTCATACAAAGGTAACTAAATGATCTGTCTGTCTATCCTTCTATCTGTCTGTCACCGTTTTGTGTGCACCCGTGCACTGCAGGTGGCAGTAACTGATTATCCTGGCAAAGTATCTGGAGTAGTTTTTCTCCACTTTCCAGCATACACCTGTTTGTTCCATCGAATATTCCAACCAAACTCCATGAGCGGACTTTTAAGGCGTAGCCTATTCATTTTATTATTTGTTCCTACTGTGTCCAGTTCGCGCTGCAACCATTAACCGGATCGATGGTTTGGCTACTGCTTTGACGTTTAGAAACGCACAAGTTAAACTGTTGCTTTGTTGTGTCCAGAGAGATTTTGGCGGAGGTGGGACAGACTATATCATCTAATTGTAGTTGATTAGGAAGTGTAACTACAGCTAAATACCTGGGAAGGATGTTAATTAGGACTATTGCTCCACACAGGTTACACAACGGTCACACTGGCTAAGCCCTGAAAATAACCTTCCGCCCTCTAAACACTCAAAAAGTAGTTTGCGCTCTTATACTTAAGATGAAAGTAAGATTAAGCTGCTTTTATTGGTTGCTGCTTGACTGTGGGCATTTTGTGGTTAAAAGACTTAAGGTTAAACAGGACTAATGGACACATTGCCCTATACAGTATATTTTTGGCTAATTCAAACTACATACCCCCTGTACTCCTTCTCTTTAATCTAAACCCTGCTGTTGGCCTTGACTCATTCAGGTTTAATGGTAATGAGGCCAAATGTGTGTTTGTGTGGGTGTTGTTGACTGTGTTGCTGCCAAACTCAGGCAAAAGCAGGTCTGCAATCATCATCAGCCAAAGATATCATACAGGATTTCCTCCTGCTCAGTTCCATGTTTTCAGGAGAAAAGTCACCGTCTGAGCTTACAGGTCTTCCTGTTGGCTGCACTGGAAATACTGCTCACGGAAAGAGGGGGGTCGCAGTGGGCTTGATAAATGAGAGAAGACAAATGAAAAGTGATTTTTGAATCTATACTGAGGCAATGGAAGTACAGAAAAGTATACAGACACGTGAGACATACTTTGGAAATCAGAATATGTACATTTGGTAACTAATTTGGTCAAACTTTGCAGAACATCTACGGCCTCTTGTTTTATATGTCTTATTTGTTTTTGCCCAGCTACAGTATGGCCTGAGGATGGTGGGTTGTCAGTCTAACAATCTGTCCAACATTTTGATCTGGAGCATTGTGTCTTAAAAACTACTGGTCAGATCACAGAATTTAGCTTTGGATATTTATGTTCCACAGAGGATCACACTTAACATTTTGGGTGACCCTTGACCTTTTTTTGGATTACAATGAGACCCAAACCTTCTGCTTTTGCCCAAGAATATTGCTATTGCTAAGAAATTTACTGAGCATATTTAAGCTCCTTAGGGGATAAATCCTTTCCTTTTTACCAGTCTGTCAGCTTTTCTGTTGTGCCGCCCTCAGGCCAAAGTGTAAACTGTGCTCATAAGATATCATATTGAGTAGATTGCCATGAAATTTGCTGAACATATTTATGCTCCCATGGGAATTTGCACTTTTCATTTGATTTGACCCTATGACCTTCCTCCTTGTGCCAATCAGAGTAAATGTCACACTCCTGGCTCCGTTTCTGAGGCTGAATAGCAGAATTGTTGGAATGTTTCAACAGTTTTGTGTTGTGTGGGGCAACACTGAAGCCTGCAGCTTGCGGCCATATTACAGTTCTGTTACTGCAAGTCGAACATAGTTGGGTGTAAGAAGATGTCACAGATGTTATATTTTATTCTCTGTTCATTGTTATCTTTTTGTTGTTCCAGTTATTACTACTCATATTGTTGCAGAAAATTTGCACAGGTTTTAAACATTTTGTTGTGAAATAGCTTCACATGCAGGAACCTTGTTGAGTTTATTGACCTGTAATATTTCGGAAGTCCTGCAATACAGCTGGGGAGCAGCGCCAGAGTGGTGGGAGCTTTTGTTATTGAGCAAACAAAGTCAGGCCCTGGGCAAACACGAGAAGTGGAAACAGCCGCATTGTGCGTCACTGCATCTTACTCATGTAAAGCTTCTTTTTCAAAGTCCCACATGTTCATTTTGACTGAGCAGTCAAATGCACCATATTAAACCAGGTTTTCTTTATTACTTGCTGTCAAAAAACAAACTCTCATTTTGCGAGCATTGAGAGAAGTGTGACCCCACAGTTTGCCATCTTCAACATAATTTCCCACTTCTTTTCCTCATCTCTTTGAATGGTAAATCTCAGTGTGTCTCATCTTCTCACAGTGCAGTCTGTTTTCTCCCTTCTGTCTCGTTCACATTCTCACTGCTGTTCTTTCTTTTCCTTCTGCTTGTCTCTGTCTGTCTCTTCCTCTTTCACCCCCCTTCCCATTATAGCCCAAAGAAGCCCAGAGGGTTTTTGCATTCCCAGGAGGATGTTGAGGTAATTTAGTGACAGGAAAAGCTGTAATTATCTCACTTCAATCAATTAGTGGGTAATAGTTAAAGCAGGAAGAAGCCCATTTTTACCTTGGAGCCATTAAAGTTCTTGTACTCTTCTAAGCTCTTTATGTTTACTTCCCAGTAAACAATGACCTAAAAATGTTCAAATTATTCCTCTGAGGCTTTGTCTTTTATTAATTTTCTTTTCCTCAATCAGTTTCACCTTCATATAGTATATAGACATGCAAGTCCTTGTTCATAGGTTTAAAAGCCCAATTTGCAATTCAAACTCTTGACAACAAAAGCAAGAATGTGTGGGTTCATTGTGCCTCACGAGGTGACACTGAGGTGTTGGGGGTCTGTGTGTGTGTGTGTATGTGTGTGTGTGTGTGTGTGTGGTTGGTTGGTTGGCTGGCTGGACTCCCCGCCCTCTGCCAACCATTTATACCAGCCTTCATTCATGCATCTCTCTCTGCGTGTCTTTCATTTGTCTTTCTCGCCTTTCAGTCTGCCTTTTATTCACTGGAAATCCCTGTGACTGTTTGTTTGCTCAGACACACACAAACACACTTTGACTTTAGACACGCACATTCTAATTCAATATTCACTTTGTCTCAGCAAAGGCAGGAGGCCACTTGAAAACACAAGTGCTCACATCAGCGTCCTGTTTTGATCAGATTGCATTAGCTCTCAGAATGCAGGGTTCTGTTTGTTTTTGCTTACAGCCTGTGAATTAATGAGTGTTCACTCAGTCGGTGTTGCTCAGATACATACAGGTCTCTTTGACAGAGTGGGTAATCTGTAAGCATGAGACCCTTAAACTGCTAGAATGGAGGGCGTGCATCCCTTCATCTTTCAGCTGTTTTGGTTTTTTTGCCAGTCTCTTTAACTTTCCATTGCAGTTTGCATCAATCACACCCTCTCTGCTCCATGTACTCAGTCAGTCATTGGAGTCTTCCCCTCTCCTGGTTTTTCTTAGTTCAGTTTAAGTGCTCCCAGGTTTATGGACCAATTGAAACCTCAGCAGAGGAAAGTAAAGGACAAAACGTGAAGGTTTATTAAACAAAGCCAATTAGGTTCTCAGACATGTTTTGCATATAATATTGGAAAGAAGAGAGGGCTTTAGTGTTTTTGTAATGGTTGACATATGTTACAAATGTTTGTGAGTGTTCATAACAGTAAGTTAAGGACATATTTATCCTGCAGACTCCATTACCAGTATGTAAAATTTACAAATACATGCACAATAGTCAAAATAGTTTCATACAGTACAAGAAAGAAAAATTAGAAATGATGAGAAACACTCTCTTTTCAAAGTTGTAATTCCACATTGATTTCAACTGTAAACTAAAATGGGATAGTTAGGACCAGATGTATTTAAATAAGTTGACACAGTTTGTATAACACCCTTAAATGTAGATACATATGTCCTTGAAATCTTAGCATAGAACATCATAGCATAGAATACTTCAATCTGATTGGTGTGTGTTACATAAGGAATAATACCCAACAAGTTGTATGTTCCACCAGCATAGTGGATGGTGCAGGGGCTAAAGACCATTAGAGACAGGTGACAATGGAAAAACCAATGTAAAGTGTCTCAGTAACCTGTTGGGCCACCATGTGCCACCAGAACAGCATCATCCTACAAGTGTTTGAACTCTACTGGAGGGATGAAAGCCATTCTTCCAAAAGAAATTCCCTCACCTGGTGTTTTGATTGTGGAAACACTGTCTAACATGTCACCCCAAAATCTCCCATAGGTGTTGAGATCTGGTGACTGTGAAGGCCATAGCATACATATGATTCCCATGGTTTTTATTCTGGCCAAACCATTCAGTGACCGCTCGTACCACGTGAAAGGGGGCACTGCCGTCATGGAAGAGATCATTTCTTTCAGGCTTTTCCTGTAGTTTGTCACTTCTCTGTACGTTCAGTTGATCATTCACTCATATCGCCGACTTAAATTGGCTCTCACCTTTTGTGTTTTAAACATTTTGAAGTGAATTTTCTAGACCTAAAGCAACACTTGTACTGTGAGAAACCATCTAGCCAAACAGGAAGGGCTTCACATGGCCAAGCTCAGAGCTCTTCAGTTTGATTTGATTTGATTTATTCTTTCAAGCATGTAAAGACAGTTATGTGTCAACACACATAATTTTACACATATCCAACAAATGCTAATCCAATACCAATTTGCTTATACCTAGTACATGCTTGAATGGAGTAGGAAGAAGTCAGACTTATCCAGTCCTACCCCATGACATCATCTTACCATCATTGGTTTGCAAGCAGTATCACGACATAAATAATTCTCTTCTACACCACACAAGTGATATACTAAAGAATTATTACAGAGTGTTAACAATCAT